GCAGTAGGACTAGGCTATAGAAAATGTAAGAAGATGAGAGTTGGAAATATACTGTCTGTCCGCCGGGGTGCTCTCATCTGTCCAAGATAAATATCCTCATTTTGATATTGACTAAAGGAGAATGTGATTCCATTCCACACCTCAAATCATGCCAACATCCACAGTCCAGGATTGATTGAATTATTGAGGGGCGTTTATTCAAATTAGAAGGGGCGCTTAAGGAAATTTTCAAGAAGGGGCGCTTATTCAAACGGGGCCCTTATTCGCGCGAGTATGGATCTCACATTTGCTAAATCTTACCATGCAGCTGATACATTAAAACTATTAGATAAGCAACTTAAATCTTAGGTATTAGGATTTCAAACGATTTCATACGTCCCCTTTGCTAAGTATGCGATCCGTTAAATAAATATATTGTAACAAGCAGATCAGGTAGATTGGTAACAACTCAGACTAATACAGTGCGATATAGAAATTCATTCTTGCCAAGCTTATCCGTCTATTCAACAGTAACTTTCAACGATAATCACTTCATACTATAGTTGATATCTCTATTTAAGGATATTCCATTACAGTAATTGTAAATAAATTTTAATGAAGAACTAACATATTTGTTTGCTAATTATACATATTCTAATATTGTGATTGTACAGTTAGAATGATTTTGGACAGAATGTTTTTAGGTTTGAAGTTTACAATGTGTATATAGCCTACTAATATTTTTGCTGTTTGTGTTAATATTGTATGTTTAATTACCCAGGAAGACAAATTTCATGTTTTTTTATATATATTTTTTGAATAAATCGAACCTTGAACCTTGAACCTTGCTTGGCACCCAAGCCAAACTGAACAGCAACATAATGTAATGCAAATTGAACGCTTACAAAAAAGAGGTTGTAAAATCATCTTAGGTCCAAGTTATACTACTTACCCAGATGCCTTAGTCCGTTGCAATTTAACTACATTAAGAAATCGCAGAGATAAAATGTCTTCAGTTTCCAAATAAACTAATGAATTCTCCTGATTTTCGTAGTTGGTTGCCTAGATCTAGAGGGCAAGAGAGTGAACAATACGTAATGCCAACCTTCTCTCCTTACCCAAGATACGTACTAAACGGTTCAAAATAGTCCAATCCCCTATTTTACCAATTTGTGGAATAAGGATGCTTCAACAGACTAGTGCTTTCATTCTTAGTTAGTTCATGAGTTACTTTTAATTGGATTGATGGTCACTTTAACGTAAAATTTTTTTCGTTTTAGCTTTGTGGAATTGTGTTTTTTTTTTTTTTTTTTTTTTTTTTTTATGGTTTTTTTTTCATTATCATTAATTAATTTGTCCATGGTTTTATCTTTGAATGTAACAAAATGTAAATAAATGTAAATGTAAAATTTTGTAAAATTGTGTCAATTCAGCCTTTGGCTGCCATGAACCATTTTTGATGTTTTTTTATGAATAAATATACCTTGAATAAATGACAGGATTTCTTATTCAATGTGATAATTAGATTTTTTGTAGTAGCGCCCTCTTTTGTCAAAATATCTTATTCATACAGATAGCACCTTCGCTATTGAACCTAATAGGCCTATGGAACTACAGTGGCGTAAGGACAAGTCACGGGGTTTTTTAGTAGTCGATAATGAGGGGCACCTTTACAGCGGAATCAAACAATACCGTAGCGTCTTATATTTATATATTTCTGTAATTTAATTTGAATCTCTGTGAATTCTAAGCCTCAGTTTGTATTGAAGCCCGGCTCTGGGAAAAATTTTGGGTCGGGAATTGATATTTGTTGCATGTGATTCCGCTTAGTAAGGGATTCGTGAGTTAAAAATGTGGCATTTATGCATTGTTTTATTTATTTAGTTGTGGGTGTCTTTTGCTGGACCATAATGCCAAGGCTCTATTATAGAGAGTGCTGTTTATTATTAGAGGGACGGGCTCCGTTGGATTGGGGACCCGGTGCTCCCCCCCCCCCACCACCCGAGATCCCATAGGCGTTAAGCCACTGTAACTAACGTACACGGTGGCATTATGTATATATACATTATATATTTGAAGCACTAATATTTACAATACAATGTATCGCAGTTGTTCCCTTCATTTATGAAGATTAGATAACAGTAATCATCACTGAAGGTGGCAGATGTATTGCCGGAAAATAAATGTTTCCAATAGATTTTTTTATATTAAAAAAAAAATCAGCTAGACCTTGCCTACAGCATTGAGCTTAAAAACTGTTGTGGTGTTTTTAAGATAAAGTAACCCATAGATCAAATACTAATTGTTTTTGACGTTAGGAAAGGTAATAACACAGCATGGATTAAGCTAACAAATATAGCCTATTGAGTTAAAACCTAGATAGCCTATTGAAATCTCCGAAAACGTAAGTATCTTTTTGGTATAACTATTGACAAAAAAACTCAATTGGAATGCACACATCGATTATGTATGTAAAAAATCTAATAAGTCATTCCAGGTTAATCCCGATATTTTGCATTTATTTTTAATATCTACAATTTTGAATATTTTAAACAACGATAATATTGTATGGTATAAAAGTCTAACAGAATATAACCAGAAAAAAATACATAGATTATGAGACTTGAAGGTCAAATTATTAAAAAAGTTAAGTCAATTACATAACAGAGCATATAAGTATGCTCTTCGTAAACTAATTAAGGACGTGTCAGACACCCAGTGTATTATAGGGCCTCACTCAGTAAATCAGTTGGTTTCGCTCTCTCAAGTGCAAATCAAATAGGTCAACTAACAACTCAATACAATATACGGTAATACCGTAAAATGCTCCATTAAGCGCTGCTTCGAATTAGCGCTGCAAAAAACATGATTTTTTTCGCTAATCGCCGCTCTCGAATAAACGCCGCGGCGCTTAATCGAGCGTATATATTACCCTGTGTGTAATGAAAAACATTGAGAAACAGTTTTAAATACAATGTATACAGTGTTAAAATGAATAAATATCACAATGAAGACACAAGCATTTCTTTATAAACATTTATTTACGATGATGTAGTGAAATAAGTAACAGGGGAACGGCCATGTAAAGCACCACGCTAATATTTTTTTTATAAGCGCCGCTCTCGAATAAGCACCGCACTGAAGCCTCCAAAAAATGTTAAGAACCGTAGCGCTTCTTTTAGCATTTACGGTAAAGCATTTAACAGATGAAATATATTTTAGGTTTACACTATTTTCTACCATCTACACTTCAACTCCTGAATTGATATGGGCTTACGTATCTTTTGTCTTTCTTATATTTATCCTAAAATATGACTTGCCATTGTGTCTTTTGAATATGTTTGTAGTTTTAGTTCAAGTTCCATTGTTTCTATCGTATGCCTGGATAATAAACAAATAGATGAATAATAATAACAATGTTCGAATAGGAACATGTTGTAATAACCGCATCAAGCATAGCTCATCAACGAAAAGTTCCTTTATATAATTCAGTTGTATGAAAAAAGTGCCTCTGACTTGCAACCTCTCGGTGTCAAGGCGAGTACCACACTAATTAGACCTATAGGATATCGTGCATTTCTAACCTTCCAGGAACTTTCTCTCATACAATTGACTGAAACGCTCACACATAGTGAAGCTGTGGTTAAGCTAGAGAAGCTTATAGGTCGCAGCTATGAAAATAATATTCAAAATAAACAATAATAATCATTTTGTCATTATTGCATCACGTTTTTGTGAAAATTTCTTGGCATTAATCGTTGCTATTAATTACACAATCCAAGTATTTCGTAGCTGCAGCAACTCTATCATTATCTATGACTTGCCCATATACCAACAGAGTTTTAATTGAAAAATAATATAGGCCTACTGCCAACACCCCCACCACCCTCCCTCAACCAAATTGAAAAAAATACATAAAAGATAGAATGCTCATTTATCACTTATGTTTATGATTAACACAAAAACCTTGAAGAAGACAAAAATCTCCGGATCCGACAGAGTCGGACATTCTATAACAAACCTCGTGTAATATTTTTTGACTTATTACTGAGCATGTATTTTCAAAATTTCCATTAAATTCTTGGCTATACCTCTTCGTCGATGGTATGATAAAAGTTCTTGGTTTAGTTTAACCACGCATTATGATTGAAATGTTCACGAAGGAAATGGACCTTAATGATATCAAAACAATACTCTCCATCTTCTCCTTTCGTGGTTAATTTAACCATAGTAGGCCTAATTATAAAGCAACGCATATCCTGAACTGTTGTACACATAAGTCCATCATATCCTATAGAAGTCACTCTTGACTCGAATTAGTTAGGTCCCATAATATAATGCATGTGGTTTGTGTTGTGAAATAATATGTTTATGTCTCGTTTTGGTTTTTCATCAATCACTGAAATCGATATAGAGAGTCGTTCCCATACACACTGAAAATAGACCTAAAACTTACATCCTCCCCTAGCCAAAAGGTTATTTTTTCAGATCCCTTCCCCAGCACTTAACAGACCTAAATTATTCGTGCTTCGCTGGCCCCCCTCCCCAACCTCCCAACTTCATTGTCTGGATTTTTGTGTACGTATGCTTAGTTTGTGATTTTAACGAACTCATAAATGATTGCATAACCCAAACTGGCAGCATATTTTGATACTGCACGAAAATGATTTTATTTGTGACTTGATAATTATAAAATGAGCAATGTAGGCCTATATAGGCATACAGTAGTTTTCTTTTTTTAGTTTATGGCAAAATATTTCGAATATGATAATAAATCAATAGACATTCCTTGAATTTTGTTGCAATTTTTCCATTTATTGTTAAAAAAAACGCAAATATCTTGTTTTTGTTTATAGTAACATAACATTATTTTTCTATGAAAGAGGGGAACAATGCAATCAGTGGAATTTATTTACAACGAACTGAACAAATGGGTGGAGTTCCCCTGTCAATACAAGAAACATCAATACGCATGCGTAGTAGAATTTCCTGGCGATTTTGTGTATTGTGAAGGACGACGGTGGCGGAGACGTCTCGCTGCTGCGGCTAGGACTCGGAGTCATAATCAAGAAGTGTGAAATACACAGCATACAGTTGAAGAAAGAGTAGTGCCTAAGAACAAGCGGTGGTAAAGAATTCCCATAGAGGAGCATCAGTCTTTTCTCTCTTGTTTAGCGTGTGTTTTAAGTTGCAAAGTCAGTGCCAAAGAATTTCACTCAGATGGAAGAACCAGCGATGACAAAATCTGGTATTAGGATATACAAAATTGTACTGCTGGGCTCCGGTGGTGTAGGCAAAAGTGGTAAGCAAAAACCCTTCGATCGTACGGTCGACGAGCGAGTGATTGCTTGTCATCTGAGTGGAGATCTTGGTAGGCTAGGTGTGTGTATCTACAACACCCAGCCAAGATGGGCATAGGCCTAGGCCTACCCTTGCAATTATCGGAGCCGTTAAAAAACAATGGATCTTTTTAAAGTGCATTACTATTTTGTCTTGATGATTAAGTTACAGAATACCTCGACTTGCTTGATCAAGTAGCCTAGGCCTAGGAATATTTATTAGAATATTATTATTCAAACATATGGGTTCTCACGGCCCACAATCAGCAAAATTTGGATTGAAAAGGAATCCTACTTTGAGCGAGCCAAATGGCCAAGTGGTTAAGGCAGGGGCATCGTGATCATAGCCAACAATATCGGCACGGGTTCGCGGCCGTCTCGCTCCTATAGTTCTGGTGGTGGAATAAGTCTTCTCGGATAAGGGCTATAATTTAACAGTAGGCCTAGTGTACACAAATGCTCGTGTGCACTTTAAAGCACCCTTTAAAGGACCCAGTACATCTTTCGAGATGAGTAGGGGGTTACCCCGGTGTACTGGTTCACTCGGCCCTGTCGTGGACAGATGAAAGTGCGCTGGTTTACTGGCTGCGGAGGACATGAAGTTACCCTCAGGGGAGGAGAAAGTTATTGAAAAGTTCAACATCTAGTCCCAAGCGCATAGAGACCTCGTTTATTTGCACTATATAAATCCATTTATTATTATTATTATTATTATTATAAAATTTTAACAAACAGTTTTACGTCAAATAAAAACAAAAGATTCTATGTTGAAAATGATGTCAGGCTTGACAATTATAGACAAAGGGAAATAATCCTGTAAACAGGATGACAGTAAACAACAAAAAAATATTGTATTTCAGTTACAAGATTGGATTTGTATTGATTTAATTGTTTTGTTTTGGTTCTTTGTTCTGGAAATTGTTCCTTTGTGCTCTGTTTGTGTTTTGATTTTGCTAAGCACATAGTGTATTGATTACCAAACATTTAAATGATGCAAAGAAATAAAAAGAAAGAAAAAAAGAGAATCACAGTGATCAGTGATTTATTGTTGTTTTTTCTACAGTAATACTTAATTGATTTTGTTTTGTTTTGATCAGCTGGCTCTTGTTTCACTTAACTGTTAACAAAATCAAATTTTGTGGTTTTGTTAATTTCCATCTGTATTGTTGACCATCAACTCTATTGTGTTTATACAATGTTTACAATGCCAATAGAAACCACTAATTAGCATTAGACTTCTGTTTATGGTTTTATCTCAGCTGAAAGAATTAGAGAACTAGGGAAAATTACATGGCTCCTGGGATAACAAATGAAGGATACTTTGATATACCATCATTTGCCTGCTCTGAGGCTCAAAAATTGATGCAACATCCACCATTTGTATGCTATGGGTCACCTCGAATCTTTTAATTCAGAATTTCCTGTTGAATGTTTGATGTAACTTAAGTATTTTCCACTAAAAATAATATAGTACAATAAGCATTTTCAGTTGATAGAAGTTCATCAACATAAATTTAGTTGTAATTCTTGTTTTATTATCCATTCAATACTGTTTGATATACTTTGTTATTTTTCAGCTCTGACACTACAGTTTGTTAGTCACAGTTTTTTAGACTATCATGATCCAACAATTGGTACGTATAATTATCATTTTAAATATCTTTGATCTTGATTCAATTTTCATTAAAGTATTCACTAATAATTTATCTACAATGCAGTATGTCTTTACCTAAATAACTATCTACATGTATATCTTCCAACTACAGTCTTTCACTACCACTACAGTCTTTCACTACCACTCCCCCTCCCCCACTAATTCTTTAAACTCTTC